AAGACGAGCTGCCATAGCCCCCCTCCTGATTGGGACTGGCATAGCAGCAGTCCTAAGGCACCGGTATTGGGGGCATCTCAACCGAGGCCCATTTTTACCACAAGCTATCCCAAGAACTTAACAAGGATATGGAGCAAGTAGCAGAGTCCTTCATCTCAGTCCAAAGACAAATTAACTCATTAGCTTCTGTGGCCCTACAAAATAGGCAAGCCCTGGACCTTCTCACTGCATAAAAGGGAGGGGCCTGCCGTTTTCTAGGGGAAGACTGCTATTTTGTTAATGAAACAGGCATAGTCCAGGGCAGAGTCAAAGAACTTAGAGACAGAATTGAACGCTGCAAAAAAGAGTTACAAAACCTTTACACTCCCCAAAACCTGTTCAAACAGGCATTGGTGCTTATCATTTTATTCCTCTTATTTGGACCCTGTGTCTTCAATCTCTTTCAACCATTCCTCCAAGAACGGATTCGGGCCATCTCTCCAGTCCAAGTCAAGACTGTTCTTTTGCTTGAAACCCTGACAGCGAGAATAGAAAATCAACACTATGGGCCTTAGATTTCCTTCCTCCCAGACTACAAACCCCTGACCCTCATTTACCAGCAGGAAGAAGCCCTGAACATTAACAGCGCCCACATCTCTCTCTTTTTATATATATTCGTTAAGGTCTGGAATGAAGGAAAGTTGCATGGCTCAAGGTAGCCTGGAGTTAAAACTCCCCTCCAGGTCCTCCCCACCATTCTAGGCAAAACAAATAACTCTCTCACCCCAAGAAAAATAGACATTAGGTTGATTACACCCAGCTCCAAGCCGGCCCAGCCTCTGGCCGATCTCCAGAACTCCTTGCCCCAGCCATTTAAGAGATAACTACTCCCAGCAACCTTAGAGAAGAACAGGCCCCCTTAAGACAGTAGCTTTCTACATACATGCCTATATATACTTAATATATAAGTTCAGCAGCTCGCTAATCTGAGTGCTGCTCCTTCTCGCCTCATTAAAGGTGATCTGTTCCTGTAGAGTGCCAGTCTTGTCTTTTTCTGAACCTCACCTACTCTAACTCCATATCTTACAATCAGCTCATCAATTTCTACAAAAATCTTTGTTGGCATTTTTATGTACTCTGTAGATGAGTTTGGGGGAAATTGAGCCCTGAATAATGTCAATTCTTCTCATCATACATGACTGAAGAACATGCATGTGACGTATCACTGCATTTTTAGGTTTTCTTCAATTTCTCCCATGGTTTACACAAACAAATATGTGATACATTTCCTTAAATGTACCTAATGTTTCATAAAGGGCAAGAAGCCCTGTGTGTCTGGATCCAGCTAGGCAAAGGGGTACTGGAAAGGGAAGTTACGACACAGAGAATATGCAGGCTGGACCACATAGGACTTTTCAGTCCACTGGGAGGCTGTGGCTTCAACTCTGACTGAGAGGGAGCCCGTTGGAGGGTTTGGAACTGAATAATTACAGGACCTGACAGGTTTTAAAGCAACTTAGCAGCTTCTTCAGTCCATGGATGGGGTCAAATGATTCCAAGTTTGCTGGCTGAGGGAGGGAGAATCAGATGAGAGTCCCATCCCCCTGGTGAACTGATTTCACCATTCTGCGCCAGTTTGGGGAGCACTGTCTAGTAAGAGAAGTCCCCAGTGCCCCTTCTCCACCTTTTTCCCTTTCCTCCATCTGCCCGTTGTAAACACTCCCCTCCCTCTTTGGTGATTTACCCACAAAAAAACTCTCATTTGTCTCCTTTTCTAGCATATGGCTTGGTGGTTTCTCACCTAAGACACAATCCCTTAGCAAGAAAATTAAGTAATAAATAAAACCGTGCTACCTCAACTCAATAATAGTGAAGACTTTGCTATTGCAAGTGAAAAAAGGAACAAATGCATACAAAATAATCACCTTGATTTAAGTCACAGGGAGAATTTCTGGGTCTGTGTAACTACAAGGTACAGAGGTAGTTTCTTTCTTCAGGCAAGGCTGGATCCAGCATTTGGTTCCCTGAGATCTGCCTTCTCGCTCCAGCTCCCCCTCTGTCCCTTGCCAGCCTGCCTCCCCTACAGCTCCCAAAGTGCCACTGGTTGGATGGGATCACCACAGCTGGAGGAAAGCAGTGCTCTGATAGTTCAGGCCTGAGCCACATGCCCACTCCTGGAATTGGAGGTGAAGTCAACTCTATCATAATCATAATGGGCGAGAGAAAAGGAAAGGGGTGATTTCCCAGGGTGACAGGAGGATACCAGAACCAAGAGAAGGAAATGGATGCCAGGTGAAAAAACCCATAGTTGTCCTTGATGGTGGTATAGACTTTTCATCAAATTAAAAATCAATTTCTAATGTTTTTTTTAAACCAAGGTAGGAAAGATTCTTCTTTAATGTGAGCATCAGCCCTGCTTCTGACCCTCCCATCAGCTTCCATCCTCTGACGCTGGGGTTCCACATCCACTTCTTGGGGGTGTCCTCTTCACAATGCCCCCTCACAGAACTTTGCTAATTAAAGTTCTAAGTAAGTGCTTTTTTCCAATGGGGAAATGGAGCAGACTTTTATGTTCCAAAGCAGCATCATTTCAAAAGTCAGTATTCTTGCATCCAACCTGGGCTGGTGATCTGTTTCACCCTAGATATACATGTTTCGATGCTGTTCTCTTGAAACATCCCACCCTCGCCTTCTCCCACAGAGTCCACAAGTCTGTTCTATACATCTGAGTCTCTTTTTCTGTTTTGCATATAGGGTTATCGTTACCATCTTTCTAAATTCCATATATATGTGTTAGTATACTGTAGTGGTCTTTATCTTTCTGGCTTACTTCGCTCTGTATAACGGGTTCCAGTTTCACCCATCTCATTAGAACTGATTCAAATGAATTCTTTTTAATGGCTGAGTAATATTCCATGGTGTATCTGTACCACAGCTTCCTCATCCATTCGTCTGCTGATGGGCATCTATCTTTACGAAGATAGTTAAACATGGAAATCTAAATTCTGAAATGATTTTCCCTAATGTCCAGTGATAACATTGAGAGTTGAGGTGGTGGCGCTTACTCTGGGTGGTTATACTCAGCATTGCCCTGCATGTTCATAGGGTTGGAAAGTCCTGAAAGACAGGAATGTGAGAGACCCAGAATTCTGCAATTTGCTTTCATCTCTTTCCATATTAGTTCCCAGCTATCTGCTTTGCTCTCTGATTGCCAAATGTTATTTCAGCAGGATGGAATTACCATGCTTTACTCAATGATTCCCCCTGGGTTTACATTCTACCAGTTTTTCAGAATGACAAGCAATGCAGTAATTGATCCTGTGGTCGTTTCTGCCTTGCTCACATATACAAGAATTTTCCTATGATAAGATTCCCAAAACTGGGTCAAAGGATATGAGCACCTTAAAATGTCATAGCAAGTGCCAATCATATGTCCAGATAGATTTTACTGTCACTCTGAAACTGTATGGGACTCCTTGTTTTGGCTTCCCTGGAGGTTCAGTGGTTAATCTGCCTGCCAATGCAGGGCACATGGGTTTGATCCCTGGGCCAGGAAGACCCCACATGCCTGGCTCAACTAAGCCCATGTGCCACATCTACTGAGCTCACCCTGATCTAGAGTCCATGCTCCAACACAGGAGAAGCCTGAGCACAGCAGTTAGAGTAGCTCCTGATGGCTGCAAGCACAGAAAAACTGCACACAGTTAGTTAACAAGAGCTGGCACAGCCAAAAATAAACAAATAATTTTCAAAAACAAAATTTTAAAAAGAGTCCTTGTTTCGAGCTATAGCCTTCTCAGACATGGACAATTTCAGTTAATTAAGTTCATCCTACACTGAGATCTTCTCTGGTCCTATAGAGCCAATCTTAAAAAGTAACACCCAAAAGGATCAAACTGTTTCCAAGCATCTTAACAGAAATAAAGCTCAAGAATAAGTTTAGGGATAGAAAAATATCAGGCATGCAAGGGAAATTTGATGCTTGGCATCCAATGTAAAATTTCCAGGAGGCAAAGCAGCAGGAAACTCCAATCCATTATAACAGAAATCAGTGTATTGTTTTTCAGTCGCTTAGTCGAGTCAAACTCTTTGAGACCACATGGACTGCTTCTTGCTAAGCTTCCCTGTCCTTCACCATCTCCCAGAACTTGCTCAAACTCATGTCCGTGCAGTGGTGATGCCATCCAACCGTCTCATCTTCTGTCATTCCCTTCTCCTGCCTTCAATCTCTCCCAGAATCAGGGTCTTTGGCAATGAGTTGGCTCTTCCTGGCAGGTGGCCAAAATTTTGGAGATTTCATTTTAACAGAAATAAGTTAAAATGCATCAATTGGAAAGGAAGAAATAAATGTGAATTTATTAACAGACAAAATGATTGTCTATGTGGGACAGTCAATGGGATCTGCAAAAGAGCTATTACAATTAATTAATGAGTTTAGCATGGTTTCAGGATACAAGGATACTCCTGAGAGTGCCTTGGACTGCAAGATTAAACCAGTCAATCCTAAAGGAAATCAGTCCTGAATTTTCACTGGAAGAACTGATGCTAAAGCGAAAGCTTCAACACTTGGGCCAGCAGATGCAAAAAGGTGACTCACTGGAAAAGACCCTGATGTTGGGAGAGATTGAAGGCAAAAGGAGAATGGGAGGACAGAGGTTGAGATGACTTGATAGCATAATCCACTCAATGGAAATGAACTTGAGCAAACTCCAGGAGACAGTGGGGACACAGAGCCTGGTTTGCTACAGTCCATGGAGTTGCAAAGAGTTGGACATTAGTTAGAAACTGAACAACAACAGCGACGTTCTGGTATTATATCTTAATTTATAAATGTAACTATAAAATTGACAATATATTTCAAAATCAATACTGAATGGCAGTACCCAACTTTCTTATTCTCCAACTTCTTACATTGTCTTCTCTTCTCTTATGTTGTACTCCTTGAATATCTGGATCTCAGAACCTCCCCTCCACCCGGAAGATGAATGCAGTATTAGGAAGTGAACAAGCTAAAACTAAACTCAGAGACAGCACAGTAGCTCAGTTTTATTTTCTGCAGTTAACAATCATCAAACAAACTACGTGGACCCTGAGCCCCCAAACAGTACCACAGACACAATTTGAGATCTGCTCAAACTACTTCAAGAAAGCAATGCTCTAGAGAAGGACACTTAATGCTAGGGCATATAGACAAGGTTTAAGGCCCTCTCCTGTGCTGAGACTAAGCAAAAAGGGGATGCACAAAGCGATGCAAGGCCCACATCACCAGGTACAGCTGCTGCAGATAGAAGGCCACAGCCATCTGGAACAGGCCAGGGTCTTCAGAAGTCAATCGGCTAAAAGGGAGGAAAAATGAAATTCAAGTTCCCGCCATGAAGGAGGAAGAAGAGCATGTCCTCCCTTTGTTCCTGCACACCGACAAGCCCAGAGAACCACACTTCTCCTCCAGGTTTAACCCTCCATTATGGCTCTTCCTGAGCTTAGACTGGTCACCACTCACCACTCCCTCCCTCGCCCCAGCTCCCTTTAGTACTGACAGAACCAACATGTGGCCATTAACGTAGAGGTCCCTCCGAACCGGCCATCTTAGCTGAGTACGTCGAGTCAGGAGGTGGCGGGCGTTGTCCGCCTGCGCGTGTGATGAGAAAGGAATGGCGAGGCTGCTGGTGGAGATATGGTTAAGGCACCATTCCACACTAGTCATTTTGCTGTAGGTCAGGCTCCCTGCTCACGGAGACCTGACTTTTCCCACAAGGCCACCACCGGACACCCTGGATATCACCGCCCGACCCTCTGGTTCCCTTCAGGTTGCTTTTCCTCACCACCTTCCCCTGGCAGCCAGGCCACCCCTGACCCATATCCTCCAGTCCCCCAGAGTACCCTCCCCCTACAGTTTAAGCCCCACTGCCTGCATCCCCCCAAACCACCCCTAGCCCACACCCCGACCCTTTTGGCCGCTTGGCCCACCGGAGCTCCTGGAATAGGATACAACTGGTAGACTCGGTTACTCAGAACTCCGGCTCCGGGTGCTGCGTCTCCACCAGGCCCTGGTGCGTGGGGTGCCCCCGGGATCTGCGGAATGGCAGCGGCTGCGCCACCTGACTCTCCGGCAGCGCTGGGCTCTCTGGGATCAGCCATGTCGCCGGAGCCGGCAGGGACTCCTCGACTGACGGCATCTCCAGGGCCAGCTGGGTCGCCAGGGCCATGGCGGCCAGCAGCACCACCCGGCACACCTTGGCTGCCCCGTGCTGTGCCCGCTGCAGAGGCCTCGGCACCTGTGTCTTCATCGGCTGCCCTGGTGGTTCCTCCACCGTGTGCCTCAGGCTCCATCTTGAACCGCTCTCCCCCGCCCTCCGTGGCGGGAAAGACTGAACCGTCCCTACAGAACCCACCCCTGTGATGAGACCTGCAACTCAACATCGGCAGAGCGCCTGCGCACACACACCCTGGTCCTGCCTCACGATTGGTTCCCACCAACCATTGGTTCCCGCGATGACTGCAGGCTCTCGGGCAATGGGCGCACCCTGCTTGCGTTCACATGCCATGTCACTCCAATGCGCATGCTCAGACTCCCACCCACGTGGTCTGGGCCCTCTGTGTCAGCCCTGCCTCGGGCCTGGAAACCTGGTAAACCACTCAGCCCTGAGGCCTCTGGGTGGCGCTCCACCCTTTAGTGTGGGGGCAGCTACTCAGTGCGCATGCTCAAACAGATCCCGCCCCACTCCTCAGGGCCCCTGTTTCCACTTCAAGCCTGCAAACCCTGAGTGAGTCCCGGTCCCTGTGCACCTCCAAGTCTGCGTTGCTGCCAGCCTGGCATCGCTCACAGGTGACCATCTTGCTCAGCGCAGGTCCTTGACATCGACTCCCAGAAGGGAGTCGGGCACCCCTGGGTCAGGGCCGGTCTGTCCCTCTGGTGTCTCACACATAGCTCACGTGCATGTATGTGCGTCTGTGTGTGTGAGCGCATGGGCAGGTGCATGCATATGGGCACGTGTACACGTGTGTTTGTGAGAGAGAGCACATGCCCAGATTCATGCACTTAGGTGTGTGTATCTGTGCATGCGCCCAAGAGAGTGCCCTTAACACAGGTGCCTGCCCGTCAGCGTGTGCGTGGGTGTGTTTCAGAAAGAGAGAGCACAAGCACAGATTCATGCACATAGGCGTGTGCATGTGTCTGTGTGTGGAGGTGCTTGCACATGGGCATGTATGTGTGGTCACGAGAGATAGCATGTGGTCAGGTGCGTGCACATGGGTCTGTCCCTGTGTGCAGGTGTGTGTGTGTGCGTGTCAAAGAGAGCACGGTTGAGTTGCATTCACATGGGCATATGTGTCTGCGTGCATGCTTGCACAGGTGGCTTCACATGGGACTGGGGTGGCCTGGCCCTGGAGGAATGAAAGCGGGAATGCGGAGCCTGCTGTGCCTGCCCGCCTGGGGAGGGAAGTGGGGACTGCTGATGGACTCACTTGGGATGGTATGGGGCTGGGCTGCCTGGGGCTCCAGGCATACAGACTGCAGGGACTCCAGTCTGTGGGCTTGCCCCAGGCCCCTCAGAAGCACTGGAGGAACCAGCTAGACTCAAGGACTGGGGGAAGGGCGATGTGCCCCTGGACTCTGCACAGTCTCTTGTCCTCTCCCGGCCCTGATCCCCAGCCCCTGGCTGGAGAGTCCTCTCAGCCCTCAAATCCAAGGCCAGCAGCCTTCCCCTGCCCCCACTGGATGGTGAGAGGCACCAGCTGTGGCTGACCTTTCCCTGTGGGTGGGGCATCCATGTCGCGCCTTCCCACCCATGCAGTTTGTCTGCATTATGGTTCCAAGTCAGTTTTAAGGTGTGGATAGACCCTGTCTAATGCCTGTGTCTCTCCCCTGCTCTGTGGCCTAGAGGACCCCAGCGGGGGAGCCTGGACACATCTCTCCCTCAGGGGCCCACTGTCAGGTTGGGGGGACATTTGTAAGGATACTCGTGCTGTGGAAGGGGGCTCACTAGACTATGATAGACTAGAGGGCGAGGGGCTAAGACAAACGACCCACCAGCTTCCTTCCTCTGCCCACTCTACATCAGTACATCTGCTCTTCATCCAAAGTGATAGCTAACACTTGCTATGGTCCATGCACCGTTTCATGGGCTTTCCATATGTTTGTGTATCAAGTCAGTTTTCAGACAGTATTGCCATGTCTATCCTGTCTCCCGTGATGCAGGTCTCTTCTACACAAATCACACACACACACACTCTCTCTCTCTCTTTCTCTCCCCAATACCAGCGGCTCAAAGTCTTGTGCATTTTGCTTTCTGCATTTCTCAAAAGTATGATGGCTGTAGTACTCCATCAGGCATGGGACTTAAGTTGAGTCTGAATGGCGAGATCTGCAAAGGATAGTGATAGTGCCAATGACAAATAATGTGTGTGACAAGAGAGTAACAGAAGTATAAAGGAAAGACACTGAATGATAGAATATGTTTCTCAGAGAGTTTACGACTGTGACAGGTGCATGGTTTTGAGTGAGTGTGACAGAGGGAATGTGTGATTGGGACAGGAATTTTTTTTTTTTGCATTTGGAAATTTTATTTATTTTTATTTTTTAATCTAAATTTATTTATTTTAATTGGAAGCTGATTACTTTACAATATTCTAGTGGTTTTTTCATACATTGACATGAATCCACCACGGGTGTACATGTGTTCCCCATCCTGATCCCCCCTCCCACCTTCCTCCCCATCCCATCCCCGTGGGTCATCCCAGTGCACCAGCCCTGAGAACCCTGTCTCATTCATCAAACCTGGACTAGCGATCCATTTCACAAATGATAATATACATGTTTCAATGCCATTCTCCTAAACCATCCCACCCTTGCCCTCTCCCACAGATTCCAAAAGACTTCTCTATTCATCTCTGTCTCTTTTGCTGTCTCGCATATAGGGTCATCGTTACCATCTTTCTAAATTCCATATATATGCGTTAATATACTGTATTGGTGTTT